GCAATAAAGCGATTTGCACACTATCTTCCTGAATATGCTGAATATGTATAGAACTATACTTGTTCAAATAGCATGACAAAATTGAAATAACTTGTTGAATGGGTTAGGAAAGAGTCAACCCAAGTGAAAACTGTGCAGTCCCTGTTAAAACCACAGCTCACATTTATAAAGCTCTACAGGATAAATGGTTGTATTATTACTGCTCTTCAATTAGCAAGCAATGTTGTACTGCGTCTTGTAGTGCAGTGTTTGCAGTTGTCTCATATTTTATTACTGCTACATTTCCAGAAATTTTATTGTAAATGCTGCTACTCCATTTAAAAAAATGAGGTTAAATGTTTCTTTCCATTAGGTGTAAAGGAAGAGCAATAAAAATAATTTACCTTTGGTCCTTACCTTTTGGACATCTCAAGTTTGGTGAGATCACTCCTGCTGTTTCTCTCTAGCAAGTATAATTCAGCTCATAGATATCCTTTCTTTAAGAAGCCTTGGGCTAGCATGGCCTATGTAAAAGAGATTCTAAGCCACTTACATGCAACTTCTGATCTCATGCTATCATTCTCTAGATAACTGCATAATGATTAAAACTGTCAAACTGAATAGACCCTTTTTATATATTGCTTAAAGTTTTTGAAAATATATCCATCCATTACTGGTTGAAATGATGTGTAGGTAGAACAAAAGTATTTTTTTTTAATTATAATATAATATATCCCTCAAAAATCCTTTACACATATAGAACTTCATCTAAACACTGGCAATCCTCCTTTTGTTGGATCTCATTTGTCAGTCTTACAGATCTTCCAGAGCTGTACATCTCTCTCTGATCTAATGAAGTCTAAATTTCTATATTACATCATCTGCAGTGGTATCAAAATATACCCTGATCTCCTGTGTATCAGTTATGATTTATAACTAGAATTCTGAGGTTAAAGATGAAGTTACTGCATGACTGAGGAACTGCTGGTGGTTAACTAGGCAACCAACCGTCACTGTTGGTCAATCTAACTCCTCTTTGGACCATATGAAATCATCCGCTCTTTGGCAAACTGTAACAGCTCGGTTTTTTCTTGGTCCCAGTGCTCTACCCTCTTGAAGTGAGGAATGGAACAGCAGAGAGGTATTTGATATATAAGGATCTTAAATAGTATTTAAATGGCACTGCCAAAAGACCTCTGTTGTTTTCAGGGAAATCAAACAAACAAACAAAAACAACACTATAGGATCACAGCCTTCCTTTCTTCCTTTCACATTTAAACTTCTTAACAACAGACATGCTAGATAAAGAGTCCCTACTTCCCTCCTCTCTGGAACATAACCTGATAGGAACATAGCTGTCTGGTGATCATCATGATCATGATCTAAAGGAGTGAAGGCCATTGCTCTTCATGGCACTCTGAAGAGTATGTCCCACACATCTCAGGCCACATAGACTCTCTCCCAGTTCTTGTGGTCTAGGAACAAGAGTATTGTGTAAAAAAACAGATCATAGTATCTCCTTTCCTCCAAAGATGGGTGGATGACCTAGATCTGAAATGGATGGAGGACTAAATTCCTGAGATTTTCAGTGAAGGTACGGGATAAATGGTATCTTCTTCCACAGGTACCTAAGCTCAGTGAGAGGAGAGAATAATAGAAATACCTTATTAAAAAGACTAAAACTCTTCATGAAGGATCTCTCTCACTCTGCATTGGATATAGTAAAAAAAGTAGAAGGTATTTTGGGAAAAGACGATTACTTACCTAACACAAGAAGACAAACATTTGTGAGGCAGTGCCCGGCTTAGATGAACTGGATCCCACGTGGTTTCCTATTCAGATTCCCCAGAGTTAGGAAAGTGTAGCTGGTGCTACCATTCTCCAGGCATTAGCCAAGTCTAAGTGCAAAAAGCACTGAATAAAAATGCTCAGACTAGAAGGGTAAAATACTGATATCTCCCTCTAGATGTACAAAACTGATTTGACTCCCTCTTCTCCTTATAAGAACAGGGATGAAATCCTCCATTCTGCCTCCATCCTGCATTCAGGGATGGAAACGTTTGTCACCCCAAAATCCACAAACAGAAATCTTTATTAAGTTCTCTTGACCAATATCATCTCCATTCCTATCCTTCACTTTCCTGTCATCCTGCTCTTCCTATTTTTCTACCACCCCCTGAAATAATACAAGTCCTTCTTTCCCAGGACATCCTGCTCTTCTCCTTCATGCCCTCTCTTTCCCCAAGACCTTGTCTGAGCCTGGACAAACCCTTGTGTTTCTATGTATCATGCTGCTTGGAGCTCGTATGGTAGAATGAGGATACATCCTAAAGATTTTTTCTTCTCAAGGCTCATCATCTCCATTCTTTCCTTCTCTCTTTCTTACAGCATCATAGAAGAAGCTGTTCTCCTTTTTTTTACTGGTAAAGGGGTCTGCATGCTGATGTCACAGGGGATGCCCACTTTGGATCAGGGCATCGCTTTTATCCAGCCACATGGCAATGAGGGTGGTGACGATAGGATATTTGTAAATAGAATTCTCAAGAATGCCCAGAATTAAGACTATGTCCTTGATATAACTTGGACATAGGACCTTGGGCATAGTAAATAACAATTTTGCCTCTGTGCTTCCCTGAGGAATCAGATTGAGCAACGATAACAGTTAGTAGGCCAGCTAACCACAAAGTCTTGGCAAGCTGTGAAGCGATTACAACTTAAGTCATTTTTTCCCCTCCATTTTCTGCTTTGTGACTAGAAGTTGACAGACAGGAAACTGAACTATACATTTTTTTATACTGCAAAAACAGATAATTCTCAAAAATAATAAGAAAGCAAAAAGCTACCTTAGGCATAATGGAATAAAATTAAGGGAAAACATTCCTAGGCATTTTCATATATACACATATAAATATGTGTGTGTATACTTGATTCTGATCAGATAAAAAAATCACCAAAAACATGAGTCATTTTTTGATGCATACTTAAGAATTTGTAATTAAACTGTAGAAAATAAAACATATTGCCAGTAGCTAAATTAAGAGGCAGTAAGAAACTGAAGTATTTCAGTTGTGTTTTGGAGCTAAATGATCTGTAGTCCACGATGCCACTTGCAGAAATATCTTGGTTAATTAAAGCCATCATTACTTCACATGAAATGTAGAAAAAGCCTTGTCATTCAAAATATCAAAAGTATCATATGTTCTTCTGGTGTAATTCAGAAGCCATACATCAAAATGATGAATAAACGATGCTTTGCTGACTTAAATGAGATGTAAGTTAAAATATGAACAAAAAAAAGGTGTTTTTGCATACTTACTGTATATGATTATGTCAGCAAGTGACCATGAAATGAAAGATCAGTAAATAGATGATCAGTAAATATTAGACATGGTGTGGAGACTCTTCACATGACCACTATATAAATTTACATACTTAATTTAGATTAGATTTTTTCATTGAAAAAAATCATAAACAATGCAGGTTGGAATGGATGCAAGATGGTTATCTGGTCTAGTTGTCCCCGCAAAGGAGACAATTTAAAAGTTAGACCAGGTTTCTCATGGCTTCGTCTAATTGAATTTGTGTATCTCCATGGATGGGGATCCTACTTGCGTTTATTGTGGAATGAACAGATGAGTCCTGTGAAAGCCATAAGTACAATGAGGTTAGCTGGAGAACATGGAGAAGTGCTCAGCTGGAAGCTCTGCAACCTGAAGGTACAGAGGTAGCTGCTGGCACTGAGCTTCCCTAAACTGCTGTGTCTTCTCTTAACTTGAGGGACATACAAGGAACACCATTACTAAGCATCCATCCTATTTCTGGACATTTTATACTCTTTACTGACCATGACAAGATACAAGGGCACTGGAGTTTTGTTTTGGCTTTGCATGCTGTCACGGAATGAGTGTGGGGGGAGTGTGATTGACACAATGCACTTCACTTGTGAAAGAAACACTGGTAGGTTTTATTGATATGGACAATGGTTTCACGAGACTCTATGGCAAGGTCAGTTATTATTTACTGCATGGAGGTCCAGGATAATACACAGAATTATCAAGGACTCCCGTTGAGTCACGAGGTTCAGATTGGACCCCCTTGCTTTCCAAGCTCCTTCTGAGAGGAGTCTGGGTGCATCTGGATCCAATCCTAGTCCCAGACCTAGTCAACGGTTTATGACTAAGGGATTTTGTGCACAGTTACAAAGCAACGTTTACAAGTTCAGAAAGGATCTCTTAACCTTGAGGAGTATCCTTGAGAGACATCCCTGCTCAAGGGGAGATCCTGGCATGCAGCCTGCTGCCGTGCAAGGAGAGCTCAATAGGCTCTTGGGCTGTCCTTGTATTTATGAGATAAGATGATTGACTCATAGTCATCCTTTCATTTCAGAGGACTTTTATCTGGTGTATGCACCATTAGCCTTATCTTCTCATCAGGATGCAGGCATCAGGACTGTTATTGCTGGTTAATTTCTGAGTGAGGGAAGAAATCAGAGAGGCAACCACCAGGGTCAGATAATATCATTGATGGTTAACACCTGAATAGGGCTGCATGTGAAAAGTCAGGTTGAGCTGGGAAAGGAGCACATCCTCACACTTGCCCATTCTGCATTATATTCTCTACCTATAGAACAGAAAATAAACTAGCTGAGAATGCAAAGCATGCAGGTGGTTTTTGTTGCAGTCGGTTTATGTTGCTCCTAACCAGAAACAGCTCAACAAATGTCCCAAGATGTTTGACACACATCACAGTGGCCTAACGTATCTTACACCAACTGGAGTGTCACAACAGGCATTGCATGAAGCACCTGGGATTTTCCAGAAGAAAAGCTGCAACAGGTCCAACGAGAAGCCTTGCAATTTCATTAGAAAAAGGAGAAGCAGTATGATTCTGGTTGGTTCAAAAAACACCAACACATTTTTCATTGGCTAAAATGTGCTTACTGTGAAGAGAAAAGAGTTGTCATTCCCCATGTCAAATAGGTTATAAGAGAGGATCTAGATCCCACCATCAAAGCCCTCTGGAGGGAAGGGACCAAGAACAGACCTTATTTTGGCTTGTGGGATCACCTGATACCTGGTAATGTCTCACTTTTTTTGAATCTTTCTTTTAATATGTGATGTCATTTGCTTTTCTTTTTCCCTTTGTCCTCAGAAAAATTCTCTCAACATTACTGACCTGAATCCATAGGTTACTAAATCGAATCTAAGTTGTCTAGAAATTACACAAGTTGAGTAAGTTGTTCGTCAAAGTATCAACACCTAGAATTCTATGGTAAAGATAGTAAATTTTACTAACTCTTTGGCAAAAATCCATTTATTTCAGGTTACTTTAGAAAACAAAGAGTTCTGTCATCTAGAAAAATGAATGGTATCTTGAAGGAAGTTAGAAGATGTTTCATATCTATGTTAAGAGTTTTATTTCATTTTCAGAATGGAGTTAATTTTTTCTTCTTTTTTAATCTTGAAATTTTCAGAAGTATAAAAGTTTGTATAAACTTCTAACCCTAGTTTACTGAGATTTTAGCACTAATTTCATGGTTTCTCAAGCCACCAACTATTCTATTGCAGAAATACAATATTTCATTACAATCTAAATTACTGCCTTAGGGAAGAGAAAAAAAATTGCAACGAAATAGAAGGTTCACTAAAGCCCAGATATATTGCATTAACTATTGCTCCCTTATCCATAAGTCCTCTTTTAGGCTACTTTACCCCCTTTTGCTGACATTAGTTGCATTAATCACTGACTTTTTTTAATGAGGCAATAAATGTTTGCTTTTCAGATTTCATTTTCAACATCAGTTGTGAGATATTTGATTGCATGCTTCCACTCAAAACTGTTGCTTATATATGAAGACTGAAGATTTTGAGCAAGTTCATTTTAGCTGTTATTTCTTGATAAATTTTAAGATGCCAAAATGAGCGTTTTTTTCATTTTTTTCCTGAAGTTTGTAACCTTGACTGTATAATGCTTTTTATACCTCATTTTTCTTAGCACTGTTTTTTATCACATACAGTACCTACATAAAAATGTCTGTAATTTGTGGAAAGGCTATTTGAAAAATGGAAGACAGAAAAACTGAGCAATCAGAAGATTAAAATAATTTCATCATCATATCTCCTAAAAGCAGGTCATCCCTACACATATATATACATATACACACATACATATATATATTATATGCATACACACACAGTATATATATTTCCTCAGGAATGCTCTCATGGTAGCAATGATGTTCTGTGGTTTGTACTAGTTATTTTAAAAAGTTCTTAGAATAAGTAATATATTTTCAGTTAACATTGCATTTGCACAGCTCTGATATTGAGGACTGTCACTCATATGCCTTTCTTGGTCCTTTTCCCTGCAGTGACACAGTTAATCTTCAGTGATGAGGATCCTTTACCTACTCTTTTCTGTCCTCTTCTTGGTCCTCCAGGTTTCTCCAGGTAAGGCGGAAAGAGAGCAAAGGGATGTTAAGGGGAAGTTTCTGTGATCCTCTAGTTAAGCTCCCTGGAACAATTTACTCGCTAATGGTTAAAAGTAGCAGAAATTGAGCAGGGGTTAGTAAAACAGTCAGCTCAGTGCTTCTGCTAATCTTTTATTTTATTTTATTTATTTTTTTTTCCCCTATGGAAATCTTTTCAATGATGGAGAAATTGTGAATGCTGGAAAAAAAAAAATCCTCCCTGCTGATATTTTTCTGTCGAGATCATGCAAAACCTCTAGCATTAGCCTTACAAGTTTGTGTCTGCTCGCCATGTGCTTTGGGTAGTGGCCTACTCAAAGGCAAATAAGCAGTTAAAAATGAAGTCTGGCCACACTTTTTCAAATAAGAATCATAAATTACAACCTCTGTATGATGTACATATGGGTCATATAATGACTCTTATTCTCTAAGTGTCCATGTAAAAATGAGTGTGCATGAGCAAGATGCTTGGGATATAGGGAGGGATAAATCTATGAAAGTATTTCCCTTTAGATACAAGGTAACCTAAGGATTCCACTTCTGCAAGGTGTAGATCTACTTGGCGATGTCCCATCAGAGAGACAATCCTTAGGGAGGTTGGTGGTGGAGGGAGTCTCTTGCTTCTTGTTTGGATGAGTGAGAGAAAGCCATGCTCTGAGCTACGGCCCTCCATGGTGCAGGTGCACAGCAAGTGACCACAGATGTTCACAAGTGAATCTGGTTGCAGGATTGTCTTCACCTCGGAGGGACATGCTTTTCTGTAGAAAGGGAACGTGTCATTTTGGAGCATGTCCTTTCCAGAAGATTAAGGTTGGAAGTTGCTTTGGATTCCGTACCTGCTGCAAGTGGTGAGTACGAGGTTCATCAAGATTCATCAGCAGGCAAATATATTCTGCTCACATCCTCATCCCCAAGCTGCAATTTAATGTTCAGATTGAGTATAAGAAAAAACTCTTATAGTGGGAGGATGGGCAAGTGTTGGAGCAGGTCGTGAGCAGAGCTCCATAGAATTCTTCTTCCTGAGATGTGCCGCATGAAATGCCCTGGAAAGACAGGCAAGGTACGAATGGAAATATTAGCCCTGTGCTCAGTTCTGCTTGACCCCTTAACAGCTCCTCCAAAATATCCAGATTTCTTATTTCTGGAGCTGAAGGGTTGGATATATGGGGAGCAAACTAGGGATTTAGTTACTCTGAAAGGCAAGCACATAGGTGCAATTCATTGTGTGCAAAAAGTGCAATTGAGTGTTGTAAAAAAAAAAAGTATCTTACAAAAGATAGCTTTGAATTTTAACTCAGGAGAGCACTCATTCACCTGATATTGAAGGATACCAATTGAATTTCCTGCTCTGCCTGCAGCAGAACAAAAACATTGCTTCTACTCACAGATAAGCACTGTATGAAGACCTGCCCCAGGTGACTCCATTCAGTTACCAGTCTGCCACAGATGCCACTGGGTATTAACCCAGGAGGAAAATATGAGTGGAGTGAAAGTAGGGAAGAAATGCAAATATGAAGATCTGATTCTTGTTTCTTTGTGCAGGCCATGGGATTTATAAGTTCTTCGTGAACTGTCCACTCAAGAGTTCTGAAAATTGCTTCTAAATCTAGCAAATCTCTTTGAAAGCCCTTACTGCTAAAACCATGGGATACGGATACAATGAATTCTCAAGCATCTGTCATTTCATATTAAAAAAAAGCTTTATGAAGATTGGCAAAGCCAAGTGCATTATGTATTGCTTTCCTTCTTTTAAATAAATTGATGTTGCTTAGCATTCATACTGCTGAAACATGGATGTTTATTGCAGGGAATGGGGGGTGATGATTCTGCTTGGGTTTTTACAAATGAAGTTCATGGAGTAAAAATTTACGGTGTGCACCTCAACTTGAGCTTTTCCAAGGTATGCAACAAGTCAGGGTGGGCAAACATGGACAGAAGAGCCTATGCTCCAGAAAAAACAAAATGGATGATGGGAGAAAGAAACCATTTTTCCTATTTGAAATGTGTTCAGATGGCAAAATCCTCATTTCAAAGCAGAAAAGAATTCCTTGGGGAAAAAGACATTGAAATAAGTAAAAAACAAAAACGAACAAACAAACAAAACATTCCTACCAATTGCTAATGGTCATGTCAGTATGATGCACACCATGATTTGGGCTCCTGGAAGATATCTGTGAATATCCTTGGAATTCTGCAGCAAAACTAGGAACATATTCAGATATTTCCTGCATTTTCAAGGACTGATGCATATCTTGGGTCACAACAAGAAGTTTCCTATAGGCTTGTGAAAATCTGTCAGAATGACTGTCATTCCTTTCCTATGTTCACCCTCATTGAGTACTGCAGGAAGAGAAGCGGAAAGACAAGGCAAGGGGTTCTCATGGTTTAAAATGGCTCTACAGCTCACAGATAGGGAGAAGGGACAAAAGGGCAGAGAGAGAACAATCCAAATTCTTGCTGATAGCACACAAAGATGTTACTGACAATTACTACTTTCGGCTCAAAAGGGTATTGTCATAGATGCAGTCCATAGGGCAGTATAAGAAATTAAGAAGTACAGAAGTACTCAAGAAGTCAACAACGAGTCTGAGAATTGGGTACCTCACAGCTCTTCCCTATTTTAGGAGAAGAACAAAGGAGAGGAATAAGAATTATCATATATCTGTTTCTTTAATCAAAAGGGTCATAGTATTCTGAGTGGGAAACAGTTTCAAGATAATGAATAAATACAGTCTCCAATCTCAACGACTCTATTCAACAGAGTTTAGAATTACCAAAGAATCACAGCTATGAAAAGTGCTTATTAATTAACTAATTAATTAACTGAAGTGAGCAAAATCTTACTAGGACATCATAATTAGTCCATAAATAAGAGGTTAAGTCTTCTATTTGAGCACACTGGAATTCACATAAAATGTAAAATCCATATTAAAAAATTATCTTTGCCCCTGCCCAGAAAGTCTGCAAGTTATCTGCCTTGTAGCACGGCATAGAAAAACATCTCTAACCCTGTTGTGTAAAATAAGACAAGATCTTATTACTAAATACTAAATAGTAGTATGTAGTTAATGAAAGTAGCAGTAAGAATGGCAAAGTTGACTGAGATTCAGCTAGCTTGTACACAACTGCTTGCAGAAGAAATACTCTAGATATTTGCTGAATTTCGTCAGTCATTTCATGAAAAACACCAGGGGTATGGACAGGTTCTCAGAGCCAGACCTGTCTTTCCACAGATCCTTTGAAGAATAATAACAAACTTCACATGGTTATTTGTTGTCACCCTGGTCTTGTCCTGTTAATTTCACATTCGAGCAGTTCCCCTCCCATGTGAGACGGCCACAGAACCTGTGGCTGTTCCAAACTTGCCCTTCCTGCACCCCACAGTCCTCCCAGCAGCCTCCCAAACACAAACCTGCAGCTTTAGGGTCACAGCAGCTTGGAACAGCATTTGTGAAGCTGGAAGGCCCAAAGCAAGACAACTGCAGGAGCACTAAACAGGGAGGACAGCCTGGGGAAGAAGGATGCAACTTACAGTACAGCTATTTCCCTGTGGGATCCTATTCCCTCGTGCATCCTGCTCAGGTTGGAGCTTTGCAGTTCAACCCCCTTGATTACCGGGTGCATTCCTGCCCACTCCACTATGTCATTTAATGAGGTTCTTGTCCCCGAGTCTCACCAAACAGGCAAGGCAGAGCATATGCGTCCACATCTCAACAAAAAGCTTCTATCTCCAGAGGAGATATACAGTGATCTATAGAAAACTCCATCTCTGTGAGAGCTGCTGTGAAAGAGAGCAGGGTGGGTCCCTGGAAAAGCCTGCATTGGAAGTAAGTGGGATTGCAACCATGGACTTCGGGAGAGCAAACATTGTCCTCTTCAGGGACCTACTTGAAGGAATGTCATGAGCTCGGGCCTTGGAAGGCAGAGGGATGCAAGAAAGATCAGTATAGTTAGTTAGTTAGTTAGTTAGAAAGTTAGTATTCAAGCATCACTTCCTCCAAGCTCAATCTTAGTGCATCCCTCTGAGCAAGAAGTCTGGCACAGGGGACAGCAAACCTGCATGGATGAGCATGGAGCTCAAGCTCATCTGTTCCACATGCAGAATGTGGAAAAATGGACAGGCCACTTGGGAGGACTAGAGCACTGCAATCAGAGTATGCAAGGATGAGATAAGGAAGACTAAGGCATATTTGGAATTAAATCAGTCAAGACATGTTGAGGACAAGAAGAAGGGCTTTTTCAAGTGCATCAGTAGCAAAAGGAAGACTAGGAAAAATGTGGGCCCACTGCTGAACAGGTGGACATCCTGGTGACACAGCACACAGAGAAGGCAGAGCTACTGAATGCCACCTTTTCTTCAGTCATTACTGCTCAGGCTGGCCCGCAGGAATCGAGGCCCGGAAGATAAGAGAAGTTTGGAGAAAGGAAGACTTTCCCTCAGTTGAGGACGATCTAGTTAGAGATCCTTTAGGTAAACTTGACATCCACTAATCCATGGACCCAAAGGGGAGGTCCTGGTGTTCTGTTGGGCCTTGTACTCACAAAGAAAGACTGTCTGGAGATGTGAAGGTTGCGAGTAGCGTTGGCTGCAGTGATCATAAGATGGTGGAGGTCAGGATTCAGCGAGGAGGAAGCAAGAGGAGAAACAGGATTGCAACCTGAGCTTCAGGAGGGCAAACATCAGCCTCTTCAGAGACCTTCCTGGAGGAGTGTCATGGGCTACGGCCCTAGAAGAAAGGGGGCCCTGGCTTGAATACCGCTTGGTAGTCAAGCATCACTCCCTCCAAGCTCCAGAATGTTTCATCCCTTTGAATAAGAAGTCAGGCAGAGAGGGCAAGAGACCAGCATGGCGCTGAGCCCACTCTTCTCTCCCCTTCCCTGTGTACACGCGGAGCCGAGGAGTATTAATAAACACTGTATTTGTATATGTTATGAGAGCACTAAGTCCTTACTGTCTGTGCCACCCGCACAGACGAGGGGAACCTCAGAGGAGCTGCTGAGGTCTGTCGCCTGAGAAGCAATTCTTTAAATACATATGCTGTCAAGAATGTAAAGGGTGTCTACTTTGGGGGAAGTGGTAACATCCTCTCATGGTCAGACAACATGCAACTACACAACTACTAAAAGCCTCTGTGAATGTTGGATTAAGTTTTTTTTTAATATATATCTTTCAAAAAATATGATAGCACTAAATTTCTTCCAGGAATCTGGGAAAAAAATGCAGAGCTTTAGTAGACGACAGTCAAAAGTGCCTTGGACAGGGAGGAGAGGATTAAGAAGTGGCTGGAGATGGAATAATAGCACAAAAAATATTTGATTTTCATTAGTAAAATCATCAGCAGTTCTTCTGAAACTGGAAATGAAGGTTTTCTACATACATAACTCATGGAATGCTAGATGCTTGAAGATTATAATGCTAGAGGAGGAAGATGAGAGCTTGAATTATGGAGAAACTGCCCTGTGCAAAACACACAGAGAGGCAGCAGTACAGAGATTTTCCATGCTCTTAGGCTTTGGTAAACATCTAAACGCTGGTATATTCTGGCCTTAGTGATTACTAAGCCCCTTATCTGCCCTCTTGCCCTTTCCTAGGAAAGCTTCGCACAGGGCTGTGGCATAAGCTCTTGGTCTGTGAAGGTCTTTACGGAAAGCATGGAGTAATCAGGTCTTCCAGATGGCCAATCCTGCTGACCGAGCTCTCATCCCATGGAAACAATCTAAGGGAACCCCAGAGTGTCTTTGTCCCACCAGCTGCAAACACCTGGGAAGCATTGCAAGACACCGTGCGCCACACCACACCACCAGGAAACACCATCCCTGAGCTCAGCCATCATGGGCAACATCAGCACCACACAACCCTCACCCACCCTCCCGCCCCACCAGGAGCCATCTACAGCTTAGAACTGCAATACCAAACTACACAGCTTTATTGAAGCAGGGAGAAGCAGCTACTTTCCAGTTGACACAAGACCCTCGGTGCGGTTGCTCCCACACAC